GCTGGCTCGCTTGCTGGCTTGCTTGCTTGCTTGCTTTTTTGCTTGCTTGCTTGCTGGCTTGCTGGCTTGCTTGCTTGTTAGCTTGCTTGCTTGCTGGCTGGCTTGCTTGCCTGCTTGCTTGCTGGCTTGCTTGCTGGCTTGCTTGCTTGCTTGCTAGCTTGCTTGCTTGATGATGATGATGATGATGATGATCCTTGTAGGGAGCTATTTAAAAGACACAACAAACTTCCACTACCTTGTCTTTTTATTTATGAAACATTATTGTATATTAGGGAAAATCTACAAAACTTTACAATGAATTCTGATCTACATGGTTATAACACACGACATACAAGCGATTTGGTGGCTCCATTTTCTCGTATACGCCTGTTGCAAAAGAACAAGGAAGACACAAACTTATACAATAAATTCGTCTCCATTCATGGAAATACAGTCATTGCTAACTTGTCTTCCTCAAAATTCTACAAATTTGCGAAGTCGTTTTTGTTAAATTATTGTTTTTATAGCATTGATGAATTTATGTCTTTTATTTATTAGGCTATCAGTTGTATTTTAATCTGTTGTATTTCTGTCGGTATTTTAAATGTATATTAATGTACAAGTTTATTTGTGACTTCAAATGTACTGTTGTATATAAAGTGGTCAATAAACAAATCTTACTTCCTTACTTGCTTGCTTGATTGCTGGCTTGCTTGCCTGCTTGCTTGCTGGCTTGCTTGCTTGCTGGCTTGCTTGCTTGCTTGCTTGTTTGCCTGCATGCTTGCGGGCAAGCTTGCTTGCCGGCTTGCTTGCTTGCTTGTTTGCTTGCTTGCTTTCTGGCTTGCTGGTTTGCTTGCTAGATTGCTTGCTGGCTTGCTTGCTTTCTTGATTGCTTGCTTGTTTGCTTGCTGGCTTGCTCTCTTGCTTGCTTGCTTGCTTGTTTACTTACTTGCTTACTTACTTACTTACTTACTTACTTACTTACTTACTTACTTACTTACTTAATTGCTTGCTTGCTGGCTTGCTCGCTTGCTTGCTTGCTGGCTTGCTTGCTTGCTTACTGGCTTGCTTGCTTGTTGGCTTGCTTGCCCGCTGGCTTGCTTGCTGGCTTGCTCGCTTGCTTGCTTGCCTGCATGCTGGCTTGCTTGCTTGCTTGCTTACTGGCTTGCTTGCTTGCTTGCTGGTTTGCTTGCTTGCTGGCTCTCTTGCTGGCTTGCTTGCTTGTTTACTTACTTACTCTCTTACTTACTTGCTTGCTTGCTGGCTGGCTCGCTTGCTTGCTTGCTGGCTGGCTTGCTTGCTTTCTTGCTGGCTGGCTTGCTTGCTTGCTTGCTTGTTGGCTGGCTTGCTTGCTTACTTACTTACTTTCTTACTTACTTGCTGGCTTGCTTGCTTGCTGGCTTGCTTGCTTGCTGGCTTTCTTGCTTGCTGGCTTGCTGGCTTGCTTGCCTGCTTGCTGGCTTTCTTGCTTGCTGACTTACTTAATTTCTTACTTACTTGCTTGCTGGATTGCTTGCTTATTTGCTTACTTGCTGGATGGCTTGCTTGCTGGCTTGCATGGTTGCTTGCTTGCTGGCTTGCTTGCTTGCTAGCTTACTTACTTACTTGCTTACATACTTACTTACTTACTTGCTTGCTTGCTGGCTTGCTTGCTTGCTTACTTGCTTGCTTGCTTGCTTGCTTGATTGCTTGCTTCCTTGCTTTCTTGCTTGCTTGCTTGCTTGATGATGATGATGATCATTGTAGGGAGCTATTTAAAAGACACAACAAACTTCCACTACCTTGTCTTTTTATTATTGAAACATTATTGTATACTTGGGAAAATCTACAAAACTTTGCAATGAATTCTGATCTACATAGTTATAACACACGACATGCAAGCAATTTGGTGGCTCCATTTTCTCGTATACGCCTGTCGCGAAAGAACAAGGTAGACATAAACTTATACAATAAATTCGTCTCCATTCATGGAAATGCTGTAATTGCTAATTTGTCTTCCTCAAAATTCTACAAATTTGCGAAGTCGTTTTTGTTAAATTATTGTTTTTATAGCATTGATAAATTTATGTCTTTTATTTATTAGGCTATCAGTTGTATTTTAATCTGTTGTATTTCTGTCGGTATTTTAAATGTATATCAATGTACAAGTTTATTTGTGACTTCAAATGTACTGTTGTATATAAAGTGGTCAATAAACAAAACTTACTTACGTACTTACTTACTTGCTTGCTTGCTTGCTTGCTGGCTTGATTGCTTGCTGGCTGGCTTGCTTGCTTGCTGGCTTGCTTATTTATTTACTTACTTACTTACATGCTTGCTTGCTTGCTTGTTGGCTTGCTTGCTTGCTTGCGTGCTTGCTGACTTGCTTGCTTGCTGGCTGGCTTGCTGGCTTGCTTGCTTGCTTGCGTGCCTGCCTGTCTGTCTGCCTGCATACCTGCTNGTTAGGTTTGTCCGGTTTTTTTGCCGGATGTATGACTTTTAAGTTAGGTTTGTCCGGTTTTTTTGCCGGATGTATGACTTTTACGTTAGGTATGTCCGTTTTTTGCCGGATGTAACCTAACGTAATCCGTCCGGCCAGACAAACCTGACAAACCTAACGTAAATGTCACATCCGGCAAAAAAACGGACAAACCTAACCTAACGTTGCGTGCTTGCTTTCCTGCTTGCTTGCTTCCTTGCTTGCTTTCTTACATACTTACTTACATACTTACTTGCTTGCTTGCTTGCTGGCTTGCTTGCTGGCTTGCTTGCCTGCTTGCTAGCTTGCTTGCTTGCTTGCTTGCTTAGCTTGCTTGCTTGCTGGCTTGCTTGCCTGCTTGCTAGCTTGCTTGCTTGCTTACTTACTTACTTACTTGCTTGATTGCTTTCTTGCTTGCTAGCTTGATAGCTTGCTTGCTTGCTTATTTACTTACTTACTTGCTTGCTTGCTTGCTTGTTGGCTTGCTTGCTTGCGTGCTTGCTTCCTTGCTTGCTTGTCTGCTTAATTACTTACTTACTTACTTGCTTGCTTGCTTGCTTGATTGCTTGCTTGCATGCTTGCTTGCTGGCTTGCTTGCTTGCTTGCCTGCTTGCTGGCTTGCTTGCTTACTTACTTACTTGCCTGCTTGCTTGCTGGCTTGCTTGCTTGCTAGCTTGCTTACTTGCTTGCTTGCTTGCTGGCTTGCTTGCTTGTTTGCTTGCATGCTTGCTTGTTTGCTTGCATGCTTGCTTGCTTGCTTGCATGCTTGCTTGCTTGCATGCTGGTTTGCTTGATTGCTTGCTTGCTAGCTGGCTTGCTTGCTTGCATGCTGGTTCGCTTGCTAACTTATTTACTTCCTTACTTGCTTGCTCGCTTGCTGGCTTGCTTGTTGGCTTGTTTGCTTGCTTGCATGCTGGCTTGCTTGCTTGCTTACGTGCTAGCTTGCATGCTGGCTTGCTTGCTGGCTTCCATGCTGGCTTGCTTGCTGGCTTGCTTGCTTGCTGGATTGCTTGCTTGCTAGCTTACTTGCTTCCTGGCTTGCTTGTTTGCTAGCTGGCTTGCTTGCTTGCTTGCTGGCTTGCTTGCTTGCTTACTTACTTACTTAATTACTTGCTTGCTTGCTTACTTGCTTGCTTGCTTGCTGGCTGGCTTGCTTGTTTGCTTGCATGCTTTCTTGCTTGCTTGCATGCTTGCTTGCTTGCATGCTGGTTCGCTTGCTTACTTATTTACTTCCTTACTTGCTTGCTTGCTCGCTTGCTGGCTTGCTTGCTTGCTGGCTTGTTTGCTTGCTTGCATGCTGGCTTGCTTACTTGCTTGCTAGCTTGCATGCTGGCTTGCTTGCTTGCTTGCTAGCTTGCTTGCTTGCTTGCTGACTTGCTTGCTTGCTGGCTGGCTTGCTTGCTTGCTGGATTCCTTACTTGCTTGCTTGCTGGCTTGCTTGCTTACTTGCTTGTTTGATTGCTTGCTTGCTTGCTTGCGTGCCTGCCTGCCTGTCTGTCAGCTTGCGTGCTTGCCTGCTTGGTTGCTTGCTTGCTTGCTGGCTTGCTGCTTGCTGGCTGGCTTGCTTGCTTGCTGGCTTGCTTGCTTGCTAGCTTGATTACGTACTTACTAGCTTGCTTGCTGGCTTGCTTACGTACTTGCTTGCTTGCTTGCATGCTTGTTTGCTGGCTTGCTTGCTTGAAAGCTTGCTTGCTTGCTGACTTGCTTGCTTGCTTGCTTGCTTGCTTGCTTTCTTTCTTGCTTGCTTGATGATGATGATGAAGATTGTAATAAATTGTAACGCCTTTATTTTTAAATGTTTATTTGCTAATTTTATACAAAGGAATGTCTGTCTAAAGCCGTACATCGAGATTTTGTATCAGCTCTTTACATACAAAAAGAAGAGCAAAAAGCAATGGCTCGCTGACAGAAATAGTACAACATATACACCAGGTCACTCAAAAGTATTTACATATTCACTGTACTACCGGTGTTTTACCAGCAATGCTTATGTTTGGCAGAGACTTACGAACTCGATTTAGTTTAATAAAGCCAGGAATTAAAGAAAAAGTAAAAAAGAAAGTCAAAACTTGTCAACAAAATCAAATTAAGTATGCTGGCGGTAAAAAACGAGAATTCATGGTAGGAGATAAGGTTACTGTAAAAGATTATCGTGTTGTAAATAAGGTTAGTTGGATTCCAGGAATTATTGAAAAACGCATTGGCAAATGCACTTATTATGTAAAAATTCCTGAATTAAATGTTTTTTGGAAACGTCACACGAATCAAATATTAAAAACTAATGTACAGAGTGGATTAAAAGACTTAGACATTATTAGTGTAGATTGCAATAGTGAAATTTCCCCTGAGGGCGGAGATCACTTAACCGGAAGTGGCGGGGGTATTCAATCATCTACCAGTAGACCTAAAAGACTCATTAAACCACCTGATCGTTTAATGGATTAACTGTATATATTAGATAAGGATTTTAATAATGTTATGTTCAGTTATTAAAGACATTAGTATAAATGAAAATGTATATATTTTTTATGTCTTATTTGGTGGGGGAGAGTGTTATATATGATATATGTAAATACTTTTGAGTAACCTGGTATATATGTTGTACTATTTCTGTCAGCGAGCCATTGCTTTTTGCTCTTCTTTTTGTTTGTAAAGAGCTGATACAAAATCTCGATGTACGGCTTTAGACAGACATTCCTTTGTATAAAATTAGCAAATAAACATTTAAAAATAAAGGCGTTACAATTTATTACAATCATCATCATCATCATCAAGCAAGCAAGCAAGCAAGAAAGCAAGCAAGCAAGCAAGCAAGCCAGCAATCAAGCAATCAAGCAAGCAAGCAAGTCAGCAAGCAAGCAAGCTTTCAAGCAAGCAAGCCAGCAAGCAAGCATGCAGGCTAGCAAGTAAGTACGCAATCAAGCCAGCAAGCAAGCAAGCCAGCAAGCAAGCAACCAACCAAGCAGGCAAGCAGGCAAGCTGGCAGACAAGCAAGCAAGCAAGTAAGCAAGCAAGCAAGCTAGCAAGCCAGCAAGCAAGCAAGCAATCCAGCAAGCAGGCTAGCCAGCAAGCAAGCAAGCAAGCCAGCATGCAAGCAAGCAAGCAAGTAAGCAAGCAAGCAAGCCAGCATGCAAGCAAGCAAACAAGCCAGCAAGCGAGCAAGCAAGTAAGGAAGTAAATAAGTAAGCAAGTGAACCAGCATGCAAGCAAGCAAGCCAGCAAGCAAGCAAGCAATCAAGCAAACCTGCATGCAAGCAAGCAAACCTGCATGCAAGCAAGCAAGCATGCCAGCAAACAAGCAAGCAAGCCAGCAAGCAATCAAGCAAGTAAGCAAGCAAGCAAGTAATTAAGCAAGTAAGCAAGCACGCAAGTAATTAAGTAAGCAAGCAAGCAAGCAACAAGCCATAGCAAACAAGCAAGCCAGGAAGCAAGTAAGCAAGCAAGCAAGCAAGCCAGCATGCAAGCAAGCAAGCTAACAAGTATGCCAGCAAGCAAGCAAGTAAGCAAGCAAGCCAGCAAGCCAGCAAGCAGGCAAGCAAGCAAGCAAGCCAGCAAGCAAGCATGCAAGCAATCATGCAAGCAAGCAAGCAAGTAAGTAAGTAGTAAGTAAGCAAACACGCAAGCAAACTAGGAAGCAAGCACGCAAGCAAGCAAGCAAGCAAGCAAACCAGCATGCAAGCATGCAAGCAAGCAAGCATGCAAGCAAGCAAGGCAAGCAAGCAAGTAAGTAAGTAAGTAAGCAGACACGCAAGCAAGCAAGGAAGCAAGCACGCAAGCAAGCAAGCCAACAAGCAAGCAAGCAAGTAAGTAAGTAAGTAAATAAGCAAGCAAGCAAGCAAGCAAGCTAGCAAGCTAGCAAGCAAGAAAGCAATCAAGCAAGTAAGTAAGTAAGTAAATAAGCAAGCAAGCAAGCAAGCTAGTAAGCAGGCAAGCAAGCCAGCAAGCAAGCGAGCAAGCCAGCAAGCAAGCAAGCTAGTAGGTATGTAAGTAAGTATGTAAGCAAGCAAGCAAGGAAGCAAGGAAGCTAGCAAGCAAGCCAGCAAGCAAGCAAGCCTACAAGCAAGCAAGCAGGAAAGCAAGCAAGCAACGTTAGGTTAGTCCGTTTTTTTGCCGGATGTGTGACTTTTACGTTAGGTTTGTCAGGTTTGTCTGGCCGGATGGATTACGTTAGGTCACATCCGGCAAAAAAACGGACAAACCTAACGTAAAAGTCATACATCCGGCAAAAAACCGGACAAACCTAACCTAACGTAGTCCATCCGGCAAAAAACCCGGACAAACCTAACGTAAAAGTCATACATCCGGCAAAAAAACCGGACAAACCTAACGTAAAAGGCATATATCCGGCAAAAAAACCGGACAAACCTAACCTAACGTATTCCATCCGGCAAAAAACCCGGACAAACCTAACGTAAATGTCCTATAACCGGCAAAAAAACCGGACGAACCTAACCTAAGGTAATCCATCCGGCTAAAAAACCGGACAAACCTAACGTAAAAGTCATACATCCGGCAAAAAAAACGGACAAACCTAACGTAAATGTCATATCCGGCCAAAAAACCTTACAAACCTAACCTAACGTAATCCATCCGGCAAAAAACCGGACAAACCTAACGTAAATATCATATATCCGGCAAAAATACCGGACAAACCTAACCTAACGTAGTCCATCCGGCAAAAAAACCGGACAAACCTAACGTAAATGTCATATATCCTTCAAAAAAACCGGACAAACCTAACCTAACAAAATGCATCCGGCAAAAAAAGCGGACAAACCTAACGTAAAAGTAATACATCCGGCAAAAAAACCGGCCAATCCTAACGTGAAAGTCATATATCCTACAAAAAAACGGACAAACCTATCCTAACGTAATGCATCCGGCAGAAAAACCGGACAAACCTGACCTAACGTAATCCATCCCGCAAAAAAAACCGGACAAACCTAATGTAAAAGTCATACATCAGGCAAAAAAAACGGACATACCTAACGTAAAAGTAATCCACCCGGCAAAAAAACCGGACAAACCTAACGGAAAAGTCATACATCCGGCAAAAAAAACCGAGTGCACCTATAGCAGAGCTTGGCCCTAGTTTCGCCTTTGCAGTTTCTGGCCATATGACCATATTGCCAACAATTGAAACATCTAGTAAGTTCGATCCTCTCCCTGACTCTGCATAAAACGATACCCACTCTAATCCTTTCCATCTCAAGGAGTTTTTTTGCATCTCTCTGCCATGCTTCCACTATCGCCGTTTGAGACGACCCGTACGCCGGCATGATCGTTTTTATCTTAAAATGTGCATTTTCTCCCAATACTCCACCAAGTGCCTCCTTTACCTCCTCCTCTGTCGTTATGGCGTCCATGTCCTTAATTTGGATCACCTCTGTCTTCTCACCTCTCTCTTCTATCCTTGCTCCTGGGATGCCTGCCGTTATGATGTTCTTTATGGCCTGCGAGTTTGTTCTTGTAACTATCCTCAGATCCCCTTTTCTAGTTTTATTTACAAACCTTATATCGTCTGAGCATCCCGCTCTCATCACTTCTGCTTTTACGTTTTTGAGGACCTCAGCATAGGCCCCCGATGATTTTACAACCACCGTATCTTCCTCTCTGTGCCTTTCATTATTCGGCCCGGTCCTCCTCGTCTGTTTCCCTTTAGGCAGATAAATATAATGTATCACGTCCTCTCTCGCATAAATGCATTCTAACGCTTTCCTGATCAAGTCTAGCATGTTACTGCCATCCACAAAAGCGAGTTCCAAACTTGTCCCACTTCCGCAGACCTCCTTAGCCTCCTTGAAAGCTGTCCAAAGAATCTCTACGAAATTTCCCTCTTTTTCCTCCGGAACGTCTATTTTCATCACTCTCTGTGTGACCACAGGACATTTGCCGCTTTTCCTTACTTTCCTAACTGTGTTTTCTATAATCGACAGTGGTCCCTCACTCTCATCATTTTCCTCAAACAGATCCTGGCATTTCTCCATTATGAACTTCTTCCATGCATTATCTCTTCCTCTATCGTTATTTATTAACAGGATATTTTTCCCTCCATCCACAAAGGGATTTCCCTGCTTAATTGCCGTCTTTGTATGCACTTCCTTCGGCCATTTATATTCTATGACCTCCTTCTGCTCCTCCTCCGTCCTGGCTTCCGTCAGTCTCAGTTTTATCATGTCCACCAACTCCTGCTGTGATTGCTGCCGACCACTAAAGCCCACTTGGACGCATGCATCTGTACCAGTAGTATTCTCAGTCTGTGTCTCAGTCTCGATTGTCAAAACATCCTTTGTCGACACAACTGCTGCTTTGTTTGTCCTGCCTAAAGTTTGAAGAACCTCCTTTGCCTTGTCTGTGGCACAACTTACTGACTAATGACCTCAGCACCCCCGCTACCTCCTTTATATCGACTTTCGTGTTTGGGGTCTCACCAATCAGTTTGGCTAGCCTTTTTACCTCCTTTTCTATTGCTACTAAGGTTCTCCTGACCATTGTAGCAGTAATTGCCTCTGCCGTCAACGAGGCTTGGTTTATATCTGGGCATGAGCTTACACTGCCACCCCTCTCCTCTCTTAGACGCCTAACAGACCTTGCTTCTTCTTCGCTCCATGACCACTCAAAAGTCGCCTGATTTGGCAGCGTCCTCGGCGACTCTAAAGTGTTTAGCACTTTCGTCGGGGAGACAACCAAACCTTTTCGCCTTCCCGACGCCATCACAAATTCCCCTATGTCTTATGCACTCCCGTAAGTAGACCTCACCGGTCCCACAAGGCGGACCAACCCGTCCTTATATACACTCCAATCTGTTGTTTATTGTCCGTGGTGCACAAAACAAAACTTCTTTCGCGCGGTTGGCAACGCTACACCACAGCACACCCGTCCCGTGCCGAAACGCAAAATGGCTGCTTCCGGTCCACTCACAAGGTTATACCGCCACGCGGTCTCCTCAGAGGGGCTCAGTTCCAGGTGTAATCTGCGAGCGGCTTGGCAGACTTTAACACCTCTAACTAAACACGATGCTACTCACTTACCCCGGTACTCTGCAACCCTTTGCACTGCTGACGCTTTAAAAAATTCGTCAAAACTGACAGATTTGGATTCGCCACACCCGTACTCTCTCGCGAACCGAACCTGACTCCAACCTAACCTAACCTAACCTAACGTAAAAGTCATACATCCGGCAAAAAAAACGGACAAACCTAACGTAAATGTCATATCCGGCAAAAAAACCGGACAAACCTAACCTAACGAAATCCATCCGGCAAAAAAACCGGACAAACCTAACGTAAATGTCATATATCCGGCCAAAAAACCGGACAAACCTAACCTGTAAAAGTCATACATCCGGCAAAAAAACCGGACAAACCTAACGTAAAAGTCATACATCCGGCAAAAAAACCGGACAAACCTAACCTAAAAGGCATATATCCGGCAAAAAAACCGGACAAACCTAACCTAACGTAATCCATCCGGCAAAAAAACCGGACAAACCTAACGTGAATGTCCTTAATCCGGCAAAAAAAACGGACAAGCCTAAAATGTAATCCATCCGGCAAAAAAACCGGACAAACCTAACATAAAAGTCATACATCCGGCAAACAAAAAACTGACAAACCTAACGTAAAAGGCATATATCCGGCAAAAAAAACCGGACAAACCTAACCTAACGTAATCCATCCGGCAAAAAAACCGGACAAACCTAACATAAAAGTCACACATCCGGCAAAAAAACCGGACAAACCTAACCTAACGTAATCCATCCGGCAAAAAACCGGACAAACCTAACGTAAATGTCATATATCCGGCAAAAAAACCGGACAAACCTAACCTAACGTAGTCCATCCGGCCAAAAAACCGGACAATCCTAACGTAAATGTCATATATCCGGCCAAAAAACCGGACAAACCTAACCTAACGTGATCCATCCGGCAAAAGAAACGGACAAACCTAACGCAAAAGTCATACATCCGGAAGTAAGTAAGTAAACAAGCAAGCAAGCAAGCAAGCAAGTAAGTAAGTAAGTAAGCAAGCAAGCAAGCAAGTAAGTAAGCAAGCAAGCAAGCTAGAAAGCAAGCAGGTAAGCAAGTAAGCAAGTAAGCAAGTAAGTAAGTAAGTAAGTAAGTAAGTAAGTAAGTAAGTAAGTAAGTAAGTAAGTAAGCAAGCAAGCAAGTAAGCAATTAAGCAAGTAAGTAAGTAAGTAAATAAGTAAGTAAGTAAGTAAGTAAGTAAGGAAATGAGCAACCAATCAAGCAAGCAAGCAAGCAAATAAGTAAGTAAGGAAGTAAGCAAGTAAGCAAGCTTACTTACTTGCTTGCTTGCTTGATTGCTTGCTTACTTACTTCCTTACTTAATTACTTGCTTGCATGGTTGCTTGCTTGCTTGCTTTCTTACTTATTTGCTTGCTTGCTTGCTTCCTTGCTTGCTTGCTTGCTTGCTTACTTACTTGCTTGCTTGCCGGCTTGCTTGCTTGCTAGCTTGCTTGCTTACTTACCTACTTGCTTGCTTGCTTGTTTACTTACTTCCGGACGTATGACTTTTGCGTTAGGTTTGTCCGTTTCTTTTGCCGGATGGATCACGTCAGGTTAGGTTTCTCCGGTTTTTTTTCCGGATGTATGACTTTTCCGTTAGGTTTGTCCCGTTTTTTTGCCGGGTGGGTTACTTTTACGTTAGGTTTGTCCGTTTTTTTGCCTGATGTATGACTTTTACATTAGGTTTGTCCGTTTTTTTTTGCGGGATGGATTACGTTAATTCAGGTTTGTCCGGTTTTTCTGCCGGATGCATTACGTTAGGTTAGGTTTGTCCGTTTTTTTGTAGGATATATGACTTTTACGTTAGGATTGTCCGGTTTTTTGGCCGGATGTATTACTTTTACGTTAGGTTTGTTCGGTTTTTTTGCCGGATGGACTACGTTAGGTTAGGCTTGTCCGGTTTTTTTGCCGGATATATGACATTTACGTTAGGTTTGTCCGGTTTTTTGCCGGATTTATTATGTTAGGTTAGGTTTGTCCGGTTTTTTGGCCGGATGTATGACTTTTACGTTAGGTTTGTCCGGTTTTTTTGCCGGATGGATTGCGTTAGGTTAGGTTTGTCCGTTTTTTTTGCCGGATGGATTACGTTAAGTTAGGTTTGTCCGGTTTTTTTGCCGGATATATGCCTTTTACGTTAGGTTTGTCCGGTTTTTTTGCCGGATGTATGACTTTTACGTTAGGTTTATCCGGTTTTTTTGCCGGATGGATTACGTTAGGTTAGGTTTGTCCGGTTTTTTTGCCGGATATAGATCATTTACGTTAGGTTTGTCCGGGTTTTTTGCCGGATGGATTACGTTAGGTTAGGTTTGTCCGGTTTTTTGCCGGAAAGATTACGTTAAGTTAGGTTTGTCCGTTTTTTTGCTGAATGTAACCCAACGTAATCCATCCGGCCAGACAAACCTGACAAACCTAACGTAAAAGTCACACATCCGGCAAAAAAACGGACAAACCTAACCTAACGTTGCTTGCTTGCTTTCCTGCTTGCTTGCTTGTAGGTTTGCTTGCTTGCTGGCTTGCTTGCTTGCTTGCTTGCTTGCTTGCTGGCTTGCTTGCCTGCTTGCTAGCTTGCTTGCTTGCTTATTTACTTACTTACTTACTTGATTGCTTTCTTGCTTGCTAGCTTGCTAGCTTGCTTGCTTGCTTGCTTGCTTGCTCATTTACTTTCTTACTTACTTACTTGCTTGCGTGCTTGCTTCCTAGCTTGCTTGCGTGTCTGCTTACTTACTTACTTACTTACTTACTTACTTACTTACTTACTTGCTTGCTTGCTTGATTGCTTGCATGCTTGCTTGCTGGCTTGCTTGCTTACTTACTTACTTGCCTGCTTGCTTGCTGGCTTGCTTGCTTGCTTACTTGCTTGCTGGCATACTTGTTAGCTTGCTTGCTTGCATGCTGGCTTGCTTGCTTGTTTACTTGCTTCCTAGCTTGCTTGTTTGCTAGCTTGCTTGCTTGCTTGCTTGCTGGCTTGCTTGCTTGCTTGCTTGCTTACTTAATTACTTGCTTGCTTGCTTACTTGCTTGCTTGCTTGCTTGCTGGCTTGCTTGTTTGTTTGCTTGCATGCTTGCTTGCTTGCATGCAGGTTTACTTGATTGCTTGCTTGCTAGCTGGCTAGTAGTAAATAAGCAAGCAAGCAAGCAAGCTAGCAAGCAAGAAAGCAATCAAGCAAGTAAGTAAGTAAGTAAATAAGCAAGCTAGCAAGCTAGCAAGCAGGCTAGCAAGCCAGCAAGCAAGCCAACAAGCAAGCAAGCAAGTAAGTATGTAAGTAAGTATGTAAGCAAGCAAGCAAGCAAGCCAGCAAGCAAGCAAACCTACAAGCAAGCAAGCAGGAAAGCAAGCAAGCACCGTTAGGTTAGGTTTGTCCGTTTTTTTGATGGATGTGTGACTTTTACGTTAGGTTTGTCAGGTTTGTCTGGCCGGATGGATTACGTTACGTTACATCCGGCAAAAAGACGGACAAACCTAACCTAACGTTATCCATCCGGCAAAAAAACCGGACAAACCTAACGTAAATGTCATATCCGGCAAAAAAACCGGACAAACCTAACCTAACGAGATCCATCCGGCAAAAAAACCGGACAAACCTAACGTAAATGTCCTATATCCTTCAAAAAAACCGGACAAACCTAACCTAACGTAATCCATCCCGCAAAAAAACCGGNGGGATGGCACCCCCACTTAGGGGGTTGAAGATTTTGCTATGCTTTTTGCGCCAAAAGTTGTCCCCCTCAGAAGCAAACTTTACCTGTTTTTGGATTTTGCCGAAAAGTTCATTACTACCCTGTAATGCCTTGCAGTACGTTTTCGATGGGCTATCCTGTATATATATATAGAAAATTTAAAGTGCAACATTTGAAAATGATTCGTGTTTATTACATTTTTAAAAATTTAATTTTTTTTTCAGTGATTCATCTTCATACGATAACAAAACAATTAAAAACAAAAAGATGTACACTTCTGAAGATACAGTAGAAATAAAAGGCGAACGTGTGCTTAAATCTGAGACAGGATTTATTGAGAATTGTAATGACCAAATACCCAGAAGCGAACAGTCTAAATTTAAAAAAAGTGGACGTTCGTTAGACATGCAAGTCTTATCCCAATGTGATAAATGTAAGTTTAAAACTAAGCATAAACCAAACGTGGAAGTGCATCAGATAAAAAAAACCCTTTCGGAAGCAGGCAAGTCCAAGTGTGATACCTGCGGTTTTGAAACCAAACATAAAAGTAGTCTGAAGACGTATCAGTTAACGCATAAAGACTCTTCAAAGATTCGAATGTACAAATGTGATAGGTGTACCTATGAATCTAAATACAAGGGACATCTAAATGTTCATCTGTTAATGCACAAAGATCCTTCGGAAATCCAAATGTACAAGTGTGANTATATATATATAGAAAATTTAAAGTGCAACATTTGAAAATGATTCGTGTTTATTACATTTTTAAAAATTTAATTTTTTTTTCAGTGATTCATCTTCATACGATAACAAAACAATTAAAAACAAAAAGATGTACACTTCTGAAGATACAGTAGAAATAAAAGGCGAACGTGTGCTTAAATCTGAGACAGGATTTATTGAGAATTGTAATGACCAAATACCCAGAAGCGAACAGTCTAAATTTAAAAAAAGTGGACGTTCGTTAGACATGCAAGTCTTATCCCAATGTGATAAATGTAAGTTTAAAACTAAGCATAAACCAAACGTGGAAGTGCATCAGATAAAAAAAACCCTTTCGGAAGCAGGCAAGTCCAAGTGTGATACCTGCGGTTTTGAAACCAAACATAAAAGTAGTCTGAAGACGTATCAGTTAACGCATAAAGACTCTTCAAAGATTCGAATGTACAAATGTGATAGGTGTACCTATGAATCTAAATACAAGGGACATCTAAATGTTCATCTGTTAATGCACAAAGATCCTTCGGAAATCCAAATGTACAAGTGTGACACATGCAGTTATGAAACTAAATATAATAGTCACCTGAAGAGTCACCAGAAGAGGCACCGGATGCACAAAGATTCCTTAGAAATCCAAAGGTGGAAGTGTAACATGTGCAGTCTTGTAACCAGGCATAAGAATTATCTAAAAACACATCAGTTGGTGCACAAAGATCCTTCGGAAATCCAAATGTACAAGTGTGACACATGCAGTTTTGAAACTAAATATAAGAGTTGCCTGAAGAGTCACCTGAAGAGGCACCGGATACACAAAGATTCCTCGAAAATCCAATGGTGGAAGTGTAACATGTGCAGTTTTTTAACCAGGTATAAGAATTATCTAAGAGCACATCAGTTGGTGCACAAAGGCTGTACGGAAGTCCAAATGTACAAATGTGGGTACTGTGCTTATGAAAGTAGGTGTAACGTTAATCTAAATAAGCATCGGTTGACACACAAAGATCCTTCAGAAATCCAAATTTACAAGTGCGACATATAAAATTATGAGAGTAAACGTAAGAAGAATTTGAAGGATCATCAATTAACACATGGACAAACAAAATGGGAATACGATACACACGACTATGACACTGTTAATAAACTCTAAGCTACAAGTCGTAAAATGTAATTGTGGAAGCGATTGTAGGAACTGCTAGACATTTATGTGCTTTTAATTAATTTATTTATTTCTTAAATGTTTTTAAATAATCAAGTTGCATTTAGTAAATAACATTGTGTAATTTATAAATTGTAATTTAACGTTGTGAATTCAAAAAGTTGTAAAAGAAAATATAAACTAATTTTTGATCAAAGTCTAATTTTGTTCTTCTCTAATGATGGTATGGACTTACAGGGTGTCCCAGAATCTCTCGGATTTATACAGGGGACGTTAAAATAACACGGCAAGTCCTTTCTTCGATGCTCTCTATCCATTTTCCGAATTTTTGGTGGAATTAGATCAGAAATCCTCTCCCTGCTTCCTTAAGGACCTCCCTGTGCCGGTGGTGCTCACAGCAAAGTCGTTAACTCGAAACGCGAGCGCGAATCTTCACCACCTCATCAGTTTCCGGAAACTGGCTGCACGTAAGCCCGGTTTACGACGTGCCAGTCGAGCACGAAGCTATCGTTTCACGGGTGATCGATGGTCGTCTACTTCTTGCTTGGGCCTAGTCGCTTCCTCGAGGGCGGTTTACTGTTACGCCCTGTCGTTAGAACGCTGGCTCTGTCTTGTTGCTTCTAGGGCTTAGGGTAGACGCCGGCGTCAGACCCAGTGCAAAGCCGCTTGGTGAGTTGCTCCTGTTCTAGCTTCTGTGGGTGTCGAAAGACCGTAAATTCCTTGCAGAGCGCTCGGCAACGGTCAATCAACCCCACCGGTGATTTATCCCTCGTTGAGGCACACGATTGCCACGGCGGAAAAGTTTATAGTCCGCAATAAAAATTACAGACTTCGAATTTACTTTGCGTTGCTGTGGTTTATAGACTCGTAATGAAAATTACGCGTCTCGACGGTAGACAAGTCTACGAATTCTTTTCTGAGTCAATTGGGGTTGGTGCCCAGGCAACTGACTCTTGGAGTACACCCTGTATATCGATAAGCGAATTGAATCTAATTATGAATTACCGCGACCTCAGTGGCGAGTAATTTAGAAACAAATACGAGAATTTAGGCTGTAGAATTATGTAGCGCATGCAGCAATTACATGCGAAAAACCTCACGGGGTTTGATGCGATGCAAAAAGCTTAAATCAATTTAATTGCTCACGGCAAAATAGCTCAGCTCGAACTTGCGAGTTCGAAACTTTCGTAGAAAGCTAAGTTACGATGCACAACCTCACGGGGCTGTGGGCAGCACGGAATGAACAAATTAGGATGCACAACCGCACGGGGTTGTGGCTAGTGCAGAGTGAACAAAATATGCTTAGCTAGAACCTCACGCGGTCGTAGCTAGCCCGGAATGAACATTGTTCCCTTGTTTCAGGGCCTTTTTATAGGATTCGTTACGTAACTAAACCGTTACTTCTGCGCGGGAGCCAATCACGTTGCACAGAATTCTAACGGTTTTTCTCAATTTGGCGGGAAGCGCCCGGCGACCGAGCTCCGATTCTGAGACTGCTGTCGTCGTACCTCATCATCCCGTGTTGCACTTACCATTAGGTTGCGGCTCTCAGGGTTTCTGGACATGTTATATGCTTCTCGCGCTGTCGCGCTGGACTCTGCTCGAGATGTAGCTAACCTGGTAATATTGCGCTTAGGCATGGCTAGGTGAGAGGACGCGATCTAATTTGTAACAACTTGTCGTTCCCTTAGATAGGATGTAAGAGAGGTTTGACTCTAACAAAGGGAATTTGGATAGAAATGATATGAGATATAGGATCGGTATTGGAAAGATAGGTGAAAAGTG